GGACGGAGTCCTGTCGGCACCCAGGCCGGCTACCGTCCGCCTCAGCTTTCTCTCTTTCTCTCTGATCCCTTCATCTCTCTAAAGCGCTCCTTTTCTCCCGCTGGATTATAGACCACGAACCTTCCAACCTGCGGGAGTGAAAGGCGCTTTCCGCCCAAATAACTTTCCCTTTCAACCGTGCAAACCCGGATTAGGTAGAAACATAGAAAACGGCCCCCACAATAGACTGTTCCTATTTTTTTTTTTTTTTCCATTCAACAGCCTCAGAGAAACAAACCTACAGACATAGCTAAAATAGCAACAAAACAACAAAAATAACTGTAAAAATCAAAATAAAATATCTGTCCCGCTGGGTTCCCCCTCTCCGAAGCTTTTATCACCTCAGTGGTTTTTGCATTCTTCAGATGAAAATGAAGTGCTCTACTCATTCAATCAAGGTATATCCTCTTTGGATATTTTTTTTTTCTTTTTTGAAAAATCCAATCAGTATTCATCTTTTTATATTAATCTTTCCTCCCCTCCCCCCACAAAATGTAAAGAATTTGGCCCGAATACATGAAAAGTGGCAGCTAATTAGCACATTGACCGCTTCCCAATGGGTATTGGCATGATAAAAAGGGGGCGAGTTTCGCTTTAAGGAAGAAGGAGAAAAAAAAAACAAAACAAGAAACAGAGACTCTAATGAAGCGTGAATGGTAATTGTGTAGTAATGAACTAACAGAAAAAGACTGAGGACAAGCAGCGAAAGCAATATATTACTAGGACAAAAGAGATTTACACTTTCAAACTAAACACAACTGCAGGCCAAGACCACTGGGAGAATACTGATGGCGGAGGCTTCTCTTCCCCAACCGTTTTCATTAAATGGACATGAAAAGCTATTTATGAGCTCGGGTTGTTTTTGTTAGAGCATTGGGATGAGGGGGAGAGGGAGCAAATTCCATTAGCAGCAGCAGCGTGAATGGTGGGTGGAGGGAGTTGGTGAATTCTCTCTTCCTCTTAAAAGAAAAAAATCAATTCCCTGTTTCTTTCGCTGATATTTGGCAATGCCTTCGTGGTCTTACCATCCCCCACCACCCAAGACCAGGCTCTGCTCTCCGTATTGGGGCTTCCCTGTGTCCTTTTGAGTTGACCAGTTCAGAGTTTTTAAGTCAGTTTGAGTTACCAGTAAGACTGAGGATGAAAACTTCCTGGAAGCTGTTGAAGGTGTTTCTCCTTTAGACTAGGATCTGACTACGGGGCTTCCTTCCTGCTGCAGACTTCATAAACTCAACCGTGGTTAAAAAGATATTGGGGGGGCGATTGGAGAAGGAGTTGGGAAATCAGGTTGGAAATTGGAGTTGGGAATGGGTGGGGGCAGAGTCTAGTTCCTCTCTCCCTGGGTGACCCCACGGATCCCACACAAGAGGGCACCCCATGTGGTCTTGTGAAAAGCCCGGAGCTCTGAATGCGTCTTAAAGAGAAATTAGCCCCGGCTGGTAGGTGTCTCTGGGCGGCGTGGAGGGCGAGGGCCGGACTGTGTGTGGCTGCCCGGAGGAGCTGACCAATTGGTCATGGTGCTGAAACCTTTGTGGGGAATCGTGGCCAAGTGCACTGACTCTGTGGGAAAACGGCGGCGTGAAGGGATGCCAACAGCTCCTCGCCGGGAAGGGAACCGCCTCAAATTGGGACCATGACAATTCCTGCTAATTTGTAGAGCAGGGAATTGGTGCAAAGTGTCAAGCAGTCACTGCTCGTGCTAAATAGGGCATCAAATTGGCGCGACGGATTCGTGAATGTTGTACGCCTCGCAACCTCTGAACCAGAGCGTAACCCCGATGGATGGACGGAGAAATATGGCTTCGAGGCGGGGAGCGACGCGCCGGGTTGGGGCGCCGCCCAGCCTTGCGCAACGAAAGGGGGGGGTGTCAAGACCTACCTGGGAAATAAGAAGATCTGATGAAAGGCTGGAAGGGACCCTCAAAGTAGGGAAAAGCGAAGGTCTTAGGAGGGACGCTCTGGAGCAGGGCTGGGGGGGTTTCTGGGAGGGGGAGGGAGACAGAAAGGGTTACACACGTGGTTATTGTACAGCGCATGGACTCCATGACTATGACTAACCTTCAGGCTGGTTTCAAAGGCATCTTCTTTCATTAACAGTAAAAGATCTTCCTAACATGTCTCATCCGTGACCCCTCCTCCCCGTAGTCCCCTCTGTGGTCCTCCTCTCCTTCAGTCTCTGGCCTGGGCACTAAGGAGACACAGGACCAGAGCTGGGACAGAGGAGAAAGGAATGACAGATCCCTAATACTAGTGAATCCAATAAGTATTTCGTCTCAGATTAAAACAAGTTTTTTCTACTAGCTGGAAGTCAGAAACCCAGACGTCCAGGGGCCTGTGCTCATATGGGGCCGGACAGCCACGCGCTGCGTACTGCTGTCTGCGCTCAAGCGCCTTTCGAGGGTGGGGTGAGCCTGGAAGCATTTCTTCCCCAGAGTCGGATCTAAGTCTCACAGTGCCCAGGGTGGGGGCTCAAAGCTGTGCAAAAGTGTGTGCACTGACGTGTGTGTGTGTGTGTGTGTGTGTGTGTGTGTGGTTATCTGCTCTGAAAAGGAAACTGAGACCAGAAGGACTCTACGTGTGTCTGGCACCTGGATGGGCTCTCAGCCTTCTCCCCCACGTGCTTACCTGTTCTAGGCGCCGCAGAAGAGAGGATGGCATTCACCCCAAACTTGAGAAAGGTGGGCTGGCGGGCCGGCGGGCCGGCAGCCTGCGGAGAGGCGCCCCTTCGACTGCCGGGACCAGGAGATCCCAGGTCCGAGGCCCCAGCGTCGGTGAGGGCTGCAGGGGCCCCCTGCCTGGGGGGCGACACGCTGGTGGTGGGCACCGTGCGGGGCAGGTAGGCAGGAGGCCGGCTGATGCGAATCAGATCCTCCACCAGGAAGCTGGAGTGACCGGAAAATGCCGACTGTAGGGACTGGGGCAGCGTCAAGGTGGGCGTGGGCCGCAGGAGGCTAGGGTACCCGGCGGGAGGCGCGAGGAGGCCGGGGAACATCATGGCGGGTGCGGGAGGGCAAATCACCCTTTCTCCAGTGGCCGGAGGGGAAACGCCTCGCTTCCCGCCCCTCCCGCCCCGCGGTGCCCTCTCTCTTGGGCTTAGCACACGT